CGAGACAGGGTTTCTCTGTGTAGCTTTGCGCCTTTCCTGTAACTCACTTGGTAGCCCAGGCTGGCCTCGAACTCACAGAGATCCGCCTGCCTCTGCCTCCGGAGTGCTGGGATTAAAGGCGTGCGCCACCACCGCCCAGCTATAAATGCTTCCTATATATTCTTTCTCTCTCACTTTTAATTTTTAAGTGTGTGTGGAGGTCAGAGGACAACTTAGCAGGAGTACGTTCTCACTCCAGCATGTAGCTTACAGGGATTGAACTCAGGTCTGCAGGCTTGGCTGCAAGCGCCCTTACCCACTGAGCCATCACACCTGATTGAGCAAATGGCCCTCTTATCTTTGTGCCCTAACCTGTTTGTTTTTGTCTGCATCTGGTGGGTCTTAGGTGGTATCACATTTGAGTCTGCTTATGAGATAACATATCCATTTCTCCTTGTATTTTTACTTCTTATTTAACTTTTATTCAGTGTCATCTTGTTTGGAGTGCCCGTGATACTGAGATGGTATATGATACTGCTCTGAAGAAACCCTCTGACTCGGCCTGGAGAGAGCTCAGAGGTTAAGAGCACTAGCTGTTCTTGCAGAGGTCCTGAGTTCAGTTCTACATGGTGGCTCACAACCATCTATAATGAGATCTGATACCCTCTTATGGTGTGCATGAAGACAGAGCATTCATGTCATACATACATACATACATACATACATAAATCAATCTTTAGGGACCCTCTGATGTGAGGGAGAAACAGGCAGGGAAGAATGGCACCTTGTGCTGGAGGTGAGGTGTTTGCCAGAGGGAAGAGGTGCTGGGGAGAAGAGGAGTATGGACTGGATAGGACTCAACTTCTAAAGTCTGAGAAACACTCGGTGGTGTGTTTTATTCTAGAGGATAGGTAATAAGGAAGCTGACAATCGAGAGTCTTAAGAATACAGGTTAAATAACATCCCCATTTAGAAAAGTATAGAGGACAGATGGAGAGGAGAGATGTGTGTTAGACCCATTTAGAGACTGATCATGAATGATATGACTGGAGAAGAAAGTTGGTCTAAAGTATAGAGGGAGGACAGCTAGGAAAAAGGTGGGAAGGAGAGGAGGCAGCAATATATATAGATGGGCGAGTTGTTAACTTGGAGATGGCAAAGGAATTACTCATCCAGAAATTCTCATTACTGGCTTATTTTGACAACAAAAACCACCCTTTTAACTGCTTTGTTATGCTGCTGATGGGAAACTGAAAGACTGATGGCTGGAGATCACAGTTAGCTAAGGTAATAGTAGTTATGATTTAGTTCTCCTGGTTTGATTTCCCTTTTTCCCTTTTCACAGATACATCTCATAGGCCTGTGATTCGAGTGACTTTGGGCTAGTTACATGGTAGTTCTGTGACCTTATAGTTTTGTTAGGTAACAAGAATAGTTTAGTCATGGAATGACATTATTTTGCTTTCCCACTTAGCTTAAAAGATGATGACAGTGGAGACCATGATCAGAATGAAGAAAACAGCACACAGAAAGATGGTGAGAAGGAAAAAACAGAACGAGACAAGAGCCAGAGCAGCGGCAAGAGGAAGGTATGTTCTGGGTTGTAGTCCAGGTTGGTTGTCTCATGCAGTCTGTTTATCTGAAGAAAGCAGATTAACTTGATGGCAGGTGCTCTTTTGGACTATTTGATTTGTTCTAAAAACAAAAGGTTGAGGGGGCTGAAGAGACTTCTTTCCACGTGCTCTTGTGCACATATGTGCACATGCTCATGAACACAAACAACACATAGAGGCACCAAAAGATTGTGAGTCAAGGGATACTGCTTCATGGGAGGGTATAAGGCTTTGGGTTCAGTCCCTAGAACTGAACAAAACGGGGAAAGGTATGGAGAGGGAGGGAGAGAGTAAAAAAGAGTCCATGGGTGACTGGGTATGACCAAAACCTGGTGGATGCACGTATGGGAACGTCACAGTGAAATCCTTAGTATGCATTTATAATCACAAGTTTTAAAAATAGTGGAATGGTTAGAGTTCATTTTGGAACTTTGAACTTCCTCTTGTTGTCAGGTCTTGGGGTGCTGCCTTGCTTTATAGTATCCTCATGTGAGATGAGTCAGGGTTCCCAACTGGGGCTTCTTTAAAGCCTGTTGAGTAATCAGTCCTGCCCATTCCTATTTTAGACTCTTCAGTTAACAGTAGTACACACTGAAAAGTGGCGTGGGATAGAGAGAATTTAGGGAATGAAAGATAAGTGGATCAAATTTTCAATATTATAACCCTGTTTATCTGATAATCCTGAATACCTGCCAAATATAAGCATTTTCTGCTAGGTGGTAAGAAGTCACAAAAGTGTGGGCGGTGGTGGCGCACGCCTTTAATCCCAGCACTTAGGAGGCAGAGGCAGGCGGATCTCTGTGAGTTTGAGGCTATCGTGATCTACATAGGGTATTCCAGGATAGCCAGCAAAACTACACAGAGAAACCCTGTCTCATTGGAAAACCTAAGAGAAAGAAGGAAAGAAATGGCCTCCCAAGGTAGATAGATAGATAGATAGATAGATAGATAGATAGATAGATAGATAGATAGATAGATAAAATGACAAGGGTGAGGGAGCCTGTGGATCAAGGAGCTCATGTTCACTGAGCACTCACTCTGTGTTGGGCCATACCCAAGCACTCTGTGCTTCTAGTTCATTTGTTCTTCACAGTGACCCTCTGAGGTGGTTATTGTTATTTCCTCCACCTTGCAGATAGGGAGCTGAGGCACAAGTGGGTTAAGCAACCTGCCAGTCTTTTGTGATGAATGCTGAGGGGGCAGTACTTGGAGTGGGCACGTGTTGAGATAATGAATGCCCATGGTATTAGAAGAAAGGCAGAAAGTTGTGTCACAGCAACGTAAAATCATCTAACCGCTAAAGGATGTACTATGAGCAGACTCTACTGCACTCAAGTAATTGAGATTATCTTCAGTTGTGGATGTGGGAAGGAATTCCTCCCCTTTTTGGGGGGGTGTTCAAGACAGGGTTCCTCTGTGTAGCCATGGCTGGCCAGGAACTTAGTCTGTCGACCAAGGTGGCCTCAAACTCACAGATCTGTCTGCCCCTCCCTCCCAGTGCTGGAATTAAGGGTTTGTACCACCACCACGTTTAGTAGGTGTGACGCTGTAAAATGTTTAGTAGGAGCCGGGCAGTAGCCCTTAATCTCAGCACTCGGGGAAAGGAGGGGGGGCAGGCAGATCTCTGAGTTCAAGGCCAGCCTGGTGTACAGAGCAAGTTCCAGGACAGAGTCCAAAGCTACACAGAAACCCCGTCTCAAAAAAAAAAAAAAAGTGTGTGTGTGTGTCTTAGGAATTAGAGAAATGGCTTATCAGACGCAAACCTGATGATCTGAGGGAAGACCAAACCCTGAAAGTTGTCCTCTGACCTCCACACACACACCATGGCATGCATATTCCCACATTCTGTCTTTTGCATGTATACAAATATATCATTATACACGTATAATGATAATCATAATTTAAAAAACAAGGTGCTGGCCGGGTAGTTTTGGTGCATGCCTTTAATCCCAGCACTCGGGAGGCAGAGCCAGGTGGGTCTCTGTGAATTTGAAGCCAGCCTGGTCTACAGAGTGAGATCCAGGACAGGCACCAAAGCTCCACAGAGAAACCCTGTCTCGAAAAACAAACAAAAAAGAGGTGCTGAAGAGATGATTTAGTAGTTAAGAGTACTTGCTCTTCTTACAGAAGACCAGAGTTTGGTTCTCAGCACCCATGCCAGATAGTTGCAAGCCCCCTTCTGGCCTCTGCAAGCACCCACATGCATACATGCGTGTGTGCATATATACACGCACAAATTTAAAAAATAAATAAATTTTATAAAAAGGGCAGTAGGGTCAATGTTTGTGACAATGCCATGAACTAACTTACCTTCTGTACTTCCCAGGCTGTTGTCCCTGGACCAGCAGAACATCCCCTGCAGTACAACTACACCTTTTGGTACTCGAGGAGAACCCCCGGCCGTCCCACCAGCTCACAGAGCTACGAGCAGAACATCAAGCAGATTGGCACCTTTGCCTCTGTGAGTGCTTAGTCTGGTGGGCTGTGCCTTGGCATGGCGCTCACACCTGCATTCTGTCTCTGCTGGTTTCCTCACTTGACTGGCTTACCCTCCCATGGTCATGTTTGTTCAACTCCCAGGGTTATTAGCAGACATCCATTGGTAACATTTAGGTAATCTAAGTATGGGAATGGTAGTTTTGATCAGAAAGGCATAATACAAAAATAAAAACGGGTTTGGGTTTGAGGTTTTTTATTTTATTGAGTCCTTATATACAGAGTGTCATAAGAGAGACACAGTTTTTTTTTTTTTTTTTTTTTTTTTTTTTTGTATATGATACCTGTCCTCATTAAATTGAATTCTGATAAATTTGTGGATGTCATCAATACAGAGTGCTAGGGCTCCTTCTTACCACAGCCCACCCTTCCCTTCCCTCCTGGTTCTATATACATTTGTAAATTCAGAGACCCTGACTACATACAACTAACACCAGTGTGTCATGTTCAACAAAGATTTTCCTGCACCACTGTATGCTCTTATGTTCAGTCTGCAGAATCAGTTTTCTGAGAGTGGGTCTTACTGTGGAACCCAGCTGGCATGGAGCTTGCCATAGTCCTGTCTGGAATGCTGGGATTACAGATGTGAGCTACCACACCCAGTTTATCCATTTATTTCTAACACAGACACCATCAGAGAAGTTTGATTATCTGCTGCTGTGTGTTAGACTAGTTTTCAAGTACAGTGGCAGCTGTGGTGTTAGGAACAACTGGTTAAACATTAGGAGGATCAGAGGAGGAACTGGGAAAGACATTTTCATTCAGGGTTCTGTTAAATTACTTTGGAATAACTGATTATGCCTTATATTTTTCTATCCTATATAGAAAAAATGTAAAAAAAGAAATGTGAGTTTACCTCAAGGAAACGGGGAAGGGGGTATGTTTTTTTTTTCTTATGGCATTAAGAGGTTTGCCACCAACACCCTCAGTATTCACTGAACAAATGATAGAGCCTAAAGTTTGCTGTCATAATCCATGACACTAAGAAATGGCCTGTGGCCAGGCAGTGGTGGCACATGTCTTTAATCCCAGCACTCAGGAAGCAGAGGCAGTTGGATCTCTGAGTTGGAGGCCAGCCAGGTGTACAGAGCGATCTCCAGGACAGCCAGGGCTACCCAGAGAAACCCTGTCTCATTGGAAAACCTAAGAGAAAGAAGGAAAGAAATGGCCTCCCAGAGAAGTAATGATGACATGAATTCTTTTTTAAATCCAAAGCAATAGTTTGGTGTTTGGGGTTTTGATTGTTTTGTTCTTATTGTTTTTTGTTTGCTTGTTTGTTTTTCGAGACTGTTTCTCTGTGAAACAGTTCTGCCTGTCCTGGATCTCAATCTGTAAACCGGGCTGGCCTCGAGCTCACGGAGATCTGCCTGCCTCTGCTTCCCAAGTGCTGGGATTAAAGTCATGTGCCATCACCGCCCAACTTCAGTGTTTTTTTTTTCAAAGTTTCTTGTCTTCTTTTTCTTTCCCCCATTTCCTTCCCTCCCCTTCCCCCACTCCTTTCTGAGACCGAGTCTCACTATGCCTAGAAGTCACTATGTAGACCAGGCTGGCCTGAACTCACAAGATCTTCCTGCCTCTGCCACCACATCTGTCCTAAAGATCTATTTTTTTACTTTTGTTTATGTGTATATATGCACCCATGCTTGTGGGTCCCCTCAGAGGCCAGAAGAGGGCATTGGATTCCCTAGAACCAGAGTTACAGGTGGTATGAGCCTCTTTTTTTTTTTTTTTTTTAAGATTTATTTATTTTTTTTATATGAGTGCTCTATGTGCATGTACAGATCCCACTATAGATGGTTGTGAGCCACCATGTGAGGGCTAAACTCAGGCCCTCTGGAAGAGCAGCCAGTACTCTTAACCGCTGAGCCACCTCTCCTGTCCGGTAGGAGCCTCTTGTTGTGGGTGCTGGGGATCAAACTCCAGTCATCTGGAAGCACAAGCAAATACTCTTCACCACTGAGTCATCTCTCCAGCCCCAAAAGATGTCTTTTCAAAAGTTCCACTTCAAGCCAAAAACCCTGTTGGCTGCCTCAGAACAGAGGCTCCGAAAGGACCTCTTAGAGCCGTTACAGCTCCTCTTCTCATACACTGGAGAGGGTGGGATCCATCCAGCACAGGGCCAGAGGCCGGCACAGGGCCAGAGGCCGGCACAGGGTGTGATTTTGTTTGTTTTGAGACAAGGTCTTGCTGGACTTTAGTCTGGCTTGGAACTTGTGAATCTCTTGCCTTAGCAGCTTCCTGAGAAAGCCACCCATAAACCACATTCTCAGCACTAGACTTCTGCTCTTACAGAGGACTCGAGTTCAGTTCCCAGCACCCATGTCAGGCGGCTCACAACTTCCTGTAATGCCAGCTCCAGGGATCCCACACCTTCTGGCCTTGCGGGCATGTGCACAAGTGCACAGACACACAGACACACACACATAATTAAAAATAAACTGTAGCTAGAGTTTTCCTGCCTGGCCCACAGTCAGGACAAATCTCTGTCCCCCGCCAGTCCCACAGTCACTCAGACCCAACCAAGTAAACACAGAGACTTATATTGCTTACAAACTGTATGGCCGTGGCAGGCTTCTTGCTAACTGTTCTTATAGCTTAAATTAATCCATTTCCATAAATCTATACCTTGCCACATGGCTCGTTGCTTACCGGCATCTTCACATGCGGCTTGTCCTGTCGGCGGCTGGCACTGACTCCCTCTGTCTTCCTGTTCTCTCCATTCTCCTCTCTGTTTGTCCCGCCTATACTTCCTGCCTAGCCACTGGCCAATCAGTGTTTTATTTATTGACCAATCAGAGCAATACATTTGCCATACAGAACATCCCACAGCAATAAATCTTGTTTAAAACAAGACATCTTTCAAAGTTTAGATCCCCTGATCTGGTGCTACAGTCAGTTGTAGGCTGCTTGATGTGAGTGCTGGGAATTGAATTTAGCTCTTTAGGAAGAGCAGTGTGTACTTTTAACCACTGAGATCTTTCTCCAGCCCCTTAATGCTATTTCTTAAGCTGTTTATTTTATCTCTCTTGTGGCTTGGATACAAATTTGTATATTGTGCCTGAGGTAAGATCTAGAGACCTAACCATCAAATGATTCTTGCCTAAGGAATTAATATATTTTGTCCTCACTATACCCCTCTATTCCTAGTTCATAATAAGCCTTGGTTCTCATGAGCTTAGTTTTCTCAATTGTTAGGGTGGGTAAAAGTTTAGATTACTCCTCACTGTATATGTATGACCACTTAATATTCCAAATTACTGTATGTACAAATAGGCCTAGCAGTTGCAGAGACGAGGTACTGCATCCAAATCCTGTAGATGGCATTAGTTTCTGACTTTGAAAGGTATAGGACATTTCACATGTTCTGTTCTGGAGGGCAGCTGGAGAGAACAGCTATTTCTGTGATAGGAGGTCAGTTTCTCTTGCTGTCTGTATTTAACAGGGGCCCGAGTCTCTGCCAGTGTCTGTGTTCTGCTCCACAGTCTTGTTGAGAGTGGTGTTGACCGTTAGCAGTAGTTACTCCTGCTCCATGTCTCTACTCCTAAGGTACCTCTTTACTGCTAGTGCCCGCAAGTGTCCTCTGTAGATCACAGGGACCAGAGTGATGATGGTGAGCTTGGGGTGTGGTGTTGTTCTGTTCATAGTGTGTGTACACCTGCTAAGTGTCTACAGCAGAGGGCATCAGACCCCCTGGTGTTGTGTTGATAGGCAGTTGTGAGCCACTCAGTATGGGTGCTAGGAGCTGAACTCAGGTCCTTTGGGAAGAGCAGCAAGTCCTCTTAACCACCGAGTGTCTGGATTCCCAGCCCTTTGTTGGTTGGTTGTTTTTGAAGCAGCATCTCACCGTGTAGCTCTGTCTAGATGATCCCAATCCCCTAGTTCCTGAATACTGGAATTATAAGTGTATAAACACATTGGAAAAAATAGAAATCTAGTTTTCTTCAGAAATTTAAGGTAAATCAAGGAGAAACATAATCTTTCCAGCTGAGAGGAGGGCTAGAAACCCTAGCCCTGGGCCAGCCTGGGCTACAGTGAGAGAGCCTGTTTGAATAAAAAGAAAAAAGTTAGATTTGGCTATATGAGTATATGCAGGCGCAGTCCTGTGGTGCTGATACACCTCAGACAGAAGGGTTTCAGTTGTGCAAAGAGCAGATGCTGGTGGGAGGCGATGTAGTCACAGGCCACAGTGACTTTCACCTCTTCAAAGAAGGAATTAAACCTATGGTGGTTGTGAGCTGCCATGTGCATGCTAGGAATTGAATCTAGGTCCTCTGGAAGGTCAACCAATGTACTTGACCCTGAGCCAGCCCTTCAGCTCCAGAGTTTATCCTTGTAGTCCAAGTGTTGTATGTTGTATTTTTGTTTTGTTTTGCTTTTCCCTTTGATTAAACGGTATTAGCCAGACATAGTAGTGCATACTTATATAAGAAACCTTTCTCAAACCAAATAAAATATATGATAGAATTTTTTCTAATATGCTCTTCTTTCTATCTTGCTCCAAATGAAATGTGACTCCTAAAGAAGATAGCTGAGGCAGGGTGCCTCCCGTGTCTTTCTTCTCAGTAACACAGCTTTGTGTACATTCAAAGAAGAGATAAAGTTCTTGTACTCTTGGCTCTTATTTCTGCAGGTGGAGCAGTTCTGGAAGTTTTACAGCCACATGGTACGTCCTGGGGACCTGACAGGCCACAGTGACTTTCATCTCTTCAAAGAAGGAATTAAACCTATGTGGGAGGTGAGGACTGAGGCCTCTGACTACTTTTGAGAGCAGATGTGTTTTCTCTTTTCTTTCTTGCTTTTTTTTAACGTAAGCCCTACCAGGATTAAAACAGTTGTGAAGTTTTCTCTCAAAGCTGTAGCACTATTGATAAATCTTGGGAGTCTGTACCCTAGGGAAGGGCTATGGCTGCAGGGTGGCTTTAAAGATGGCGCTGTTTTAGTTACTGCTGTGTTGCTATAAGAGACACTGTGACCAAAGCAACATGAGACAAAACGTTTATCTGGGGCTGGCTTTCAGTTTCACAGGTTTAGTCCTTTATCATGGCGGGGAGCGTGATGGCATGCAGGAGGGGCTGGAGCAGTAGCTAAATATCCTGATCCATAGGCAGAGAGAGAGAGAGAGACTCTGGGCTTGGCATGGGCTTTTGAAACCCCAGCACCCCACCAACCTTACACTTACACAGCACACTTACTCTAACAAAGCCACACCTCTTAATCCTTCTAATCCTTTCAAGTAGTGCCCCGCCCTGGTGCCTGTGAATCAGATCTGTGAGCCTATGGGGGAGGCATTCTTATTCAGACCATCGTAGATGCTGTCCCTTAAATGGTGTTATTACAGGGTAGAAAGCTTTTTAAATGTCCTGTTCCCATAGAACTCATGCCTGTGTGTATGTGGACATGTAATGCATTTGCTTAGTAGATAGAGAGTTAAAGAAATAGGAAAAAAACCTGAAGAGTAACAGAAAACCCAGCCGTGAGCTCTGTGATTTCTTTTCAGAGCTGTTACTCAATTGCACTTTTGGGCACCACATGCTCCAGTGCCAGAGCAGTTTCCTAAACGTTGTAGATGTCAAACCCTTCACTTGGATACAGTCAGCCCTTCTTGTTCACATACCCCTGGCTGCAGCCGCCTTCCTCCCAGTGCTCTCCACATCCTCACTGCTGCACATGTGAAGTGTTTCTGAGGTTTCTAGCCATGTGCTCTCTCTCTCACCATCTTTTGTTACAGTAGCACTGTTACAGTAGTGCTCAGTAGACTGTGTGACTGTGATTAATTGGTTGTCTGTCTCCTCTACTAAATTGTTAAGATCTGAGCTTCTGTCTCTGTACTTGGTACTTGGTGACAGTCAGCTTTTAGCAAATGGTGATTATGGTCTGTGTTTGAAATGTGACATTATTTTACTTTGATTCCTAAAATAGTTCTGGTAAAAGTGGATTCTTTTGATGGGCGGTGGCGGTGCACGCCTCTAATCCCAGCTCTTGGGAGGCAGAGGCAGGCGGATCTCTGTGAGTTCGAGGCCATCCTGGTCTACAGAGTGAGATCCAGGACAGGCACCAAAACTACACAGAGAAACCCTGTCTGGGGGTGGGGTGGGGTGGGGGGGAGAAGTGGATTCTTTTTAAAACATCTCTTTATTAAAAAAAAAAAAAGATGTAGATCAAGGACAAGGATGCCTGCCCTTTTTTGTCCTATTTCTTCTCTCAGTAACATTGAAATGCCGTTGAGTTGGGAAGTGCCCGGGCTTCCCTGCTCTTGAGAGGTGTTTGGTATTCAGAGCTGACGGACACGGTGGACCGGTATTGATGCTTTCTGTCTTCCTGTAGGACGATGCAAACAAAAACGGTGGCAAGTGGATCATTCGACTTCGGAAGGGCTTAGCATCCCGCTGCTGGGAGAATCTCATCCTGGCCATGTTGGGGGAGCAGTTCATGGTTGGGGAGGAGATCTGCGGGGCTGTGGTCTCTGTCCGCTTTCAGGTAAGTCAGCCAGGCCACTGTTCTTTCTTGTGCTGCTGCTGCTACTCTGATGGCTGCTTCTGGCTGGTTTGATCATTCACTCTGTTCCTCCCTTAGGAGGACATTATTTCTATATGGAATAAGACTGCCAGCGACCAAGCAACCACAGCCCGAATCCGGGATACTCTTCGGCGCGTGCTTAACCTACCTCCCAACACCATTATGGAATACAAAACTCACACCGACAGCATCAAGTACGTGTTGGGGGGCTTGGGGGGGACAGGTCCCTGAGCTTAGCAGAAGTAGCTCCATAGTTGGGCCCAAGCGCATGTGGTCATACGTGACTTTGACTTGTGGAGTAGAGAAGCAGCAGCCCCTCCAGGGTTTGGCCCCTTGCTGAAGTTCTTGTAGTGAGGCTCCAGGGCCTGCTGTGAGGTGTGGGGAGCAGAGAGCCTTCTGCAGAACCCGTTTTCCTGCCTGGGCTGGCTTCATTTTACAGGCTGCCTTGTCTTTCCTGTGCTAACCACTGTTTTACAATGAAAGACAAAGCTCTTTCAGAGGTTTTTTCATGGCTGTTTTTAAAGACAATTTCATTGAATAATAAACTCCTCTTCCCTGCCCACCCTGACCCCACCTTTGCATGTCTGTTGAACCTTTTAGCTTTAGTCTGTTTTCTTGTCTTGGGAGATTGACTTCTTCTCAGGGATGGTGACTCCACTTTCTGTGGTAGAGTTGAAGTCTAGAGGAAGCAGGGTAGATTGTGAGAGAGGAGGAGAGGGGAAGTAGAGTCACAGACAAGAGACAGTGAGTGCTGTCCACATTGAGAGTCACTGGTGAGGGCTTGCTCCTTCAGGGACAGGGACAGATGATGAGCTCAGGTCATTCTGAATAGGTTCTGGGAGTGGCTGCCAGATTGTCTCAGAGGTGGATGGAAAGCCAGCCAGCCAGGAGTCAGGTCTCTTTCTTTATTGTCTCCTGCGGCCCTGAGTCAGTCTGCCTTTGGCAAGTCTCTACAACTCTGCTTCAGGCTCTTCTCCAGCTGTGAGACAGGAGGACAGGAGTAAATAGTAAGGCTGTGGTAAGGCTGGCCTCCTCTTTGCAGCTGAGGGTCCTCAGAGCAAGAAAGCTCTTACAGGACCAAGTAGTTTTGCTGTCATCATTAGCACAGCGTTGTCCTCATGCCATCCTATTGAAGACCAGTAGTGAGCCAGTGGTTGTGCTCATCAGCAGGCAGACCATGTGAGACTCTCCCATGCATTCACATGTGATGTTGTGGGTGGATTTGCTTATACCAGCTAGGTGCCAGTTTTTACCTGGGAGTACTGCCATGGGAGTTGGTCTGATAGCAGATGGCTGGCTCCGACACTCACTGGAGCCACCAGGACTCATTTGCCATCCATGGCCCTGGTTGCTTGGCTCGGCAATCCTGTATCAGCGCTATTTTTCTTAGAGGAGGACTGTCTTCCGCCCTGCTGCGGGATAGAGGTAGTATCTGCCCTCCTGCTAGGTTTAGTCCAAGCTCCAAAGGTCTGCATCTCCCTAGGATTCTTGTTTGCGAGGTTCCCATTTCACCTGGTTAGGAAAGGGGAAAGGTAGTCTCCGTGAACTCCCCACTGTTCTCCCTTTCTGATACCTGGAGGCGGTTCATCTTGACTTGTAAAATCCCGTGAACAAGTCCTTCTGGGACCGAGGAGCCTCTGGGACTCCTGCCCTGCAGCTGTAACACCCTCCTCAAGACCCAGATGCCACTTTCCCTTGCTCCCCACTCTTTTTCCTCTCCCAACGAGCTACCTTTTGCACTTCCACTAGAATGCCAGGCAGGCTGGGCCCCCAAAGGCTCCTTTTTCAAAACCTCTGGAAGCCGCGATTGAATGTGCCATGACCCTCTCCCTCTCTGGATGGCACCATCATTGAAGCTGGCGTCATCGGAGTCTCTTGTTCTGTTGGCGTGCCACCTGGAAGACCCTTCTGTCCTGGACAAGAGGAACGGAAGAGCATGTTATGCTTTGAGAACAGGCTGACAGCAGCAGCTACAACAACAGCTGAGATCACAAATAAATGGTGCTAAACCAGCTTGTCTCATGCTCTTGCTCTTTATGGTGCATCAAGATGTGGCCTTTGGATTGACTGTCACCGTTGTCAAGGGATGGCACACAGACTTCTCCATGCAGGGTCATTCAGGGAATGCAGCTTCATATCCACATGCCTGTTGCGTAGTCATATGGTACCTTATTCCTGGACTCCTGTGGTCTGGCATGATGAGGTGACATCTAGCTCTCAAGCCCCTACTGCCTGGTGCTCAAGTGTACTAGTTTCCATCCAGTTAGACCGACGGCTAGCCCAGAGTGGCAGCTGAGTTCAGGTCCAGCTTGAAAGTCTCTTACAGTTGGAAAGGGGATGTTCTTGGCTTTTCTTTGCTAACTTCCAGTTGCCTTTAGTTCATAGAAATCTCTTGCTTGGAGCCAAAGCCCTGCTTCTGTCTGTCTGTGGCCGTACATACGTACTCTTTTGCTTTGTGCTAATGGGGTGTTCTCTCTGGTGCCAAAGCTGCTTGGCAGCCTCCTCCCTTTCCTTGCAGAGTAGATTGTCTTCCTCTTTGGTAGTCTTGCTTGGTGAGAGCCCTTCCTTCCTCCCAGCCCAGGGTTACTGTGCCAGGTCTAGGGTGAGAGGTGCCTTCATCTTGGGGGGATTCACCCCGGGGTAATCTGAATGTACACTGACCTTGTGAGTACTATGACTTTGCTTATGTGTGCGTGAAGCTTGGCTTTCAGGCCCTTAACCTGCATGGAGAGTTTCAGCAAGCTTTGTTAGCCACCCCCAAAACTAAAAATTAAAAAGTGTTTCTGTGAGCACTGGGTTGCTTGAGTGGGAAGTAACCACGAGATGGGGTTCCAGAGTGCCGTGTCCAATCTGGCAGCAGCACGCTCCTTAATACCAGCTGGCTGACTTAACCCTAGTCTTTGTGTGGCCCAGGAGTCCACAGAACACACAGTAAGACCTTGTGCTCCATGTTCTGGGAGTGTTGATGCCAGTGCTGCTTTATTACTCTCCAAACTGGCTGAAGTATCTAGAGGAAGATTGCTGGAATGCAGAAAGCCTGTTGTCTGCTGACACTTGTCAGACGTTGGCTTTCCTGGGCCTTCTGCCCTGTCTTTCACTGTGAGATACGTGTGCATTTTAGCTGCACCAGCCAATAAACTTGATGCCACTTTCCAGAGTTAGAGTCTGGCAGCAAAACTGAGCTGAGAGCCCTTCGGATCCCGGGCACATGTGAGATGTCGGCATGGCTTGGTCTGTTCTTGTGGCTTCTGGTGGAGCCAGTGAACAGCATCTGCTGAGACTTGAGAAGCCAGCAGTAATGGTTGTCCCCCAAGTGCTCTGCATTTGAGGGCTGCTAATCGAGGTAGGGCACGGTTTTAGGCATTGCTCAGCTTCTTCACTCAAGCATTCCTCCAGCTTGCTGTGTTTCAGCCAGTTTCCAGACTCCGTCACCTGTTTGTCTTTCCAGCCTTCCCTGGTCACCCTGCCGGGTGCATCCCTGGGTGAACCCGGAAGTAGTCATTGCCCCACAGACAGGCTACTTTGTCAGGTCCTTGTGCTGCTGACTTCCTAGGAAAGCTTACTCACTTGTGTTTGCGTCTGATCACAGCTCTGGAACTGGCCATGTAGTCCACACTGGCCCCCAACTTCACATCAGACAGTGCTGGGATTACTGGTGTGTGCTACCATGCCCAGCTCATGCCCAGCCTGTGGCTCCTTTTAATGAAGCAGATTTGAGTTTTCACAGGTTTAGGTTCTTACATTAAATGGCTCACTGCATCCTCTTCACAGACAATTCTAGGGCCACCAGGGCTGTCACAAAGGTAGTTAACCCAGCACTGTGTTGTGAGAAAATTGCTCTTTGAAGTTGCCTCACTGATTCCTTGTGCATCTGGTCTGGAATAACAAAAGGACCCTCTTCCCATAATAGAGCACAGTGCTGCAGAAGACTGGTGGGGTTTCTCTGCAGAGTAAGGGAGAAGGAGAGAGACAGGCCAATGTGGAGACTCCTTCACCTGATCTGTTATTGTATTGCAGCAGTGAACTTTAATGTGCAGGTGAGGACCAGCCCACTCACTCTGTCCTAGTCCGTCATAACCAGGATACTGGGCCGCTTTAGCTTAATAGCTGCCTAACCTACACTGTACTGCATTAGCAGGTGACTAAACCCCTTTCTAGGTGTTGAGGGCTGGCTGAGAACAAGACACTGATGCCTGTAGGCTTTGGGCAGGGGTAGGGAGCATGGAATTTACACATAAATGAGGTCCCCCTGTTCTGAGAATTGGCTTTCTGGTAAGTGAGATGGGATCAGTTGACCTTAGGGGATTCTCTGTTGCTGTCACTGGGATCTGCTCAGAATTCTCAGTAGGCTGTATTAATAATCTCTGATTTGTTGGTTTTTAGATGCTCAAAACATAAGCACAACTTCTTTAAAAAAATAAAGTGTTGATGTTACCTAGTGTACTTGGGATGCCAAGGGAAGGGAAAGCAACTAGAAATTCACACCCGGTTGGCCTTTGAGAATAGGAGTGAGTACACCAAATTCTGTGACCAAGTGCTAGGTTTCCCCTGAATCCATTCAAGAAAATTTCCAAACCCAGAGTGTTCATGTCTGTGCTTAGGGACTAGGAGGTCAGTGTATTCTGGAATGGACTAGAAGGATCTATGGAGCCCCTGGTTTTTCCAGATCTGCACCAGTGGTCTGTTAGGCAGGTGTAGTAGGGAAAGGCCCTTCTGGAGACAAGAGGATAAATGAGATGACCTTCCACCCTGCTGTGTGACTCCTTGTTGACCTCTAAGTTACTTCAAGTAGAGAAGTTTTTGCAGAGGGAAAATATTGCTGAAGCTGGGGTAGACATTACCTCGTCCTTAGTTAATAATTTTACTTTATTTTTGAGATACAGTCTGACAATGTAGCCCTGGCCATCCTTGAATTTACTATGTAGACCAGGCTGGCCACAAACTCACAAGAGATCCACCTTTCTCTGTTTCCCAAGTACTAAGATTAAAGGTGTGTCTTACCTGTCCAGTTCCCTATTGCTTTTTTTTAAGGGAAAACTGCCTGTTGTGCCTGGTAATATATTTTAGTACTTACAATACTAAATGTGTAGTGAGAGGGGATGTATTGTCACTCACTGCTGTTACTACCTTAAACAAGAAAAGAGTAATTACCTGGCCTGGTGGCGCACGCCTTTAATCCCAGCATTGGGGAGGCAGAGGAGGTAGATCTCTTGAGTTTGAGGCCAGTCTGGTCTACATTAGTAAATTCTAGGCTGGCATTAAGTTGATATAAGTGCCTAGGACAATCACTGCTTTCAAACTGAAAAGTGGGTAGGACAAAAATGTGAGAGAAGTTGGCATCATGGCGAGAGATTCCAGAACACTTGGTTGGGGGAGTCTGATCTCCTTTTTCCATGCGGCAGCCACTGGCACCCTGCTTGTGGAGCACTGGCTGTGCTGTGAGCTAAGTGTGCGTCCTCCCGTCACTCACACTTCCAACTCCTTCCTAATCGCATTTCTAAATTACGTTCATCAAAATTGTGTTAACCGGCATGAAGTTGTGATAAGCTCTGTTAGCTGGAGATGTTAGCTGCCATGACCCACACATCTTAAATCTAAAGATCGGACTTTCATGGGTGTTTTCAGGAGCAGATAGAGTCTGACGAATTTAGCATCTCATGGTGGAGGTGGAAGTAGAGGACATGACATAACTGGGTTACGCCTTTAGCCGTAGTGCTGGTGGGTCCTTGGCTTTACCCAGGGTCAGGCCCAGTGAAGCAGTGTGGTTTCCACTGCTTGTTCCCTGGACCCAGTGCAGCAGAGGCAAAAACTTTGCTGAAGCAAGATGGAAGTGTTTGTGGGCGTGGCTGAGCTTCAACTCTGACCTCTGGCCCCCCTTTACCCCTGTTGAAGGACACTGGCAGTCCTCAAGGAAGTAGTGAAAGCTAGACTTCTTAAGTAGTGCAAGCCGGAAGTGCCAGCTACCTGCCGTCTCAGAAGAAAGCCTGCCGGGAACGTCACCACTCTTACCCAGCTCCCTGTCTCCAGTCAGCATGGAGGGCATCGGAGTGGGAGGCGGGGTGATGGTGTCTGCTCTCTGTTCAAAGCGTTTGATCTGAATGTGCTGTTGTTTTTTTGTCTCTGGTTTACCAGGGCCTGGGAGGAGTTTCATGGCCTGGTGAACAGCAGCGGCCGCTGATCGGACGCTCCCCCTCTGTCTGTCACACTCAGGGTAGGGCTTGTCTACCTTCTCTGTAACCCCATGACATACCTCAGCCATGAGCCCTCTCCCCAAGGATGCCCTCCTCCCATTTGCCTCCAGCTTGCCTCTGCCAGCGTTACGCCTCAGGGAAACAGAGTTCCAAACTGCCTCCCTGGATCCCGTGTCTCAGGGTGAAGCCTGTATAGGTCACCAGCCCTCCGCTTCTGCTCTCCCATTTGGTGCTGTGCACCAACAGATCTGAGATCTCTTTAGATGCTGACATTTCTTGATAGTAAATATGCACTGTATCTTCCTGTTTTGTTCAGATATGGCCATTTTTAAGCCATCTGCCAGTGTCCTGTGACCAAAGGACAATTTCATAGACCCTGGTATGGGTTAGGTGAGGGTATGTCTCTCGTTTGCTGCTGTTGCCTATCATTTGTGAGGAAACAATATTGTAAATTTGGTTCCCACGATGAAAGTCAGGTGGATTTCGGGGCTGTGTGAGAGACCGTGGTGACATGACAGATGGGCCCCAGAGCGGGGAAGGCTGGCCAGCTCCAGCATCGACCTGCCTGAATACGGGAGGTTCCTCCAGAGAGTCCAGGCCATGGCTGTCTCTAACAGAGGGAACTGGGTAAGTTTAGCTGAAAGAAGAGGAATATTTTCCTCAATGAGAGCCTTCTCTTAGACATCAGGCACCATGAGCCTCTGCAGTAGCTGCTTCAGGGCCCCACCCCCACCCCCCCCCAAGAAGGAAATGAAGGTTTTCCAAAAAAGGAGACTGCCACTCTCAGATGAGCTAAAAGAGGTGACACTGAGGAATAGGAGCAGGTGACTGCAAGTCTGGGTGCTGTGTGGTCCAGTGTGATCTAGGGTGACCAGTTACAGGGTTCCTGAAAGTGGATGGTGTGCCCAACTCCCTTTTTTGTTTTTTTTAAATAGGTGGGTAGCGCGCATGCGCGTGTGTGCGTGTGCGTGTGCGTGTGCGTGTGCGTGTGCGTGTGCGTGTGCGTGTGTGTGTGTGTGTGTGTGTGTGTGTACACAGAGCACCTTGGCTGTCAGCCTTAACTTCCACCTTGTTGGAGTCAGGGTCTTTTTGTTACTCACTGCTGCATACCCAAGTTAGCTGGTCCAGAGCTTGCAGAGATTGCACTGACTCTGCCCTCCTTTTAGGAGCGTGGCGGTTACAGACTTGCAGCATCCTGCTGGGCTTTTGATGGGTTTTGGGAAATCTGACTCAAGTTCTTAGAACAGGCACTTTGTCCACTAAGCTGTCTCCTCAGCTCGTGTTTTTGTGTTTTGAGGCAGAGTTCATGTAGCACAGGCTGGCCTTGAACTCATTGTGTAGTTGAGATAACCCTAAACCCCTGATCCTCCTGTCTCCACTTCCTGAGGGGTTGGATTATAGGCATGATCCACTACACTGAGCTCCCTCTCTCCACCCCAATTTTAATAGTTCAATTTTGTTACAAATTAAGTTTTGGCGAGGCATAGTGATTCACGCCTATTCTCTCAGCAATGAGAAAGCTGAGGCAGGAGGATTGCTAAGAGTTTGAGATGGTGAGTTAAAGGCCTACCTGGGTTATGTTGCAATCTTGTGTGTCCTTCCCCTGCCTCCAGCCCCCCCCCCCAAAAAAAAAAATCTTTAAACTAGAAACTTTAAATGGCTTCTTCCTTAGCAGACTCTAAATTTTTCCAAGTAAAGTACCTTTGACTTGTTTGGAGAAGTTATGTCCTTGAATAATTGTCTCTGTATATTCTCTCCCTGTAGCCCCTTGATGTCTTTTTTATGTACTTGACGGCTTAGGTGGCCTTAAAGCATGGGCTTAGGAGTCTGTGAGGAACATTCCGATTTAAATCCAAAGAGCCCGTCGCGGTGCCTTAACAAGCTTGGAAAGTCCTCCTGTTCCACTTCTCTTATTGGGTCTCCTTTCTCACTGAGCAGTGTTCTAAGATGTAGACACCTGCCACATGACGTCTTAGCCCCCTGTTCTTCCCGCTTTGCTGTTTCCCTACACAAAGGGATCATAATCTGTAAAGAAAATCGATAGAAAAAGGTCAGAGTGGGCCACATAGTATAACCCTTGCCCCCACTCATCCATATACCCCTAGCACTTGGAAGGCAGAATTAAGGGGCTCAGGAGTTCAGGGTCATTTTCCCTTACAGAGCAAGCTCATAACCAACCTGGGCTCCATGAAATCCTGTCTCAAAACAAAACCATACATGCATATATCTTAACCTTGTAATATTTTTCCCAAATCACTTGCTATTTTATGTGTTTACACATTAAGACTATTTCTTCTAGCTTTCATTATGGAGCCATGGCTCTTAATAAAAGTACACTGAGTTGATGAGAGGACCCTGGTTACCTGATCACTGGGCTAGCATGGACAGAATAAGAGTGTGTTGTTGGCCAGGGCAGCTCTCATGGTTGTTTAGTAAGACGTGAGATTAAAGTTCACTCCCATTGAACCTCAAAAGATTTTACAGCTTGAATCTTCAGGGAGAGAAGAAGAAGGCAAAACCACCCACCAGAGTAGCCCGCAGATAGCCAGGGGTGAGGCAGGTGGACTCCGGGTAGTAGATCCAAGCCACTCTCGGAGCAGACTTGGGTGGGCCCGGCATTCAGCTGAGGACCATAGTCACTCTGGTGCTGCCACTGGACAAAGGTGCAGACATAGATAGGTACTCAGAGGAAGGCATCCTTCTGGGGAACTGCTGTGTCCCTCTGTCCAAGGGAGTTAACCCCTGCCTTAACCCATTGTTCCCAAAGTTAGAACTTGAGTCAAAAAGTGTTTTGAAGAGAAAAAAAAAGAGAGAGAAAGTCATTTGAGAATGTTTAGACAATAGTTTTCCCCAAGGTAGCTGGGAATGTGAGCTTAGGAACCAGTTTGGATGGGGATCTCTGGAGTTTCTGAGATCTTCAGAGAACATAACTAAGGATTCCTCTGACTTCCTCTAGGGCTCTGGGCCTGGGAACTCGGGTGTCCTATGCTCAGATGGACCCTGAGCATGACCTGTGCACCGCCACATAGCACCAGGGGCTAGTTGCTAGTGTTTGGTTGTTGTTGGGTGATTGGTTGGTTTGATTTGTTGGGTTTTGGTGGTGGTTTGTTGTAAAAGAGCAGAAGCACAGATAGGTTAGATGGCACTCGCCTATAATCTTAGCACTCAGGGACTGAGGCAGGAGGATCACAAGTTTAAGGCCAGCCAGGTCTATAGCAAGTTCCAGTTGAGCAAGTATCACATAGAGAACCGCTGCACCCACAGCAGACAGACTCTCCAGCCTCTGCCACTTCCTGTCTTCTGTCTATCCCTGTCACCTACGTCCTGTGCTGCAGCTAGAACCTGGCGGAATGCAGTTCTTAGTCTAGGGAAACATGCTCGGACTAAAGTTGGCACTAAATGTTCTCAACTTACTTGCCGCCGCCATCCACCTGCTTCAGCCTGCCTTGGCAGAGCCTGCCACCTGCCTTCATTACTCCTTGTTTCCTGTCAGTCCGGAAACAGGCTCCTGGGTCTGGCTCTCCGACCCTCTTCCATTTCCATCTTGCAAATGGACCTTTGCAGGGTCAGGCTGCTTAGGTTTCTTACTAGAAAGAGCCCTGGTGGGGGTAACTAGAGTAACACCTGAGTGCTGAAGGGAAGTGGGGCAGGGCTCTGCAGTGGCCTGCACAGAGGGAGGGTCAGTTCTGGCCCACCCCAGCACTGATCAGTGTTTAGCTGAGCTCTTCTTCCTGCCCGAGTGGCTGTGCTGGATCCAGAAACTCATCTACCCACCTCCTTACCAGGAGACAGACTTCTGCCTCTCTTCTGAGTTGGAAGGTCCTGTCACCGTCCCGCCTTCTGTTCATCCTTCACACGAGAGCAGACTTGTTTCTCTCCCGCCTTATCTGGGCACAGAGGTGGCACTGAGAGGGACGAAGTGGGGCAGAGCAGACTTGCTGTGGTCACTTCAGCAGGTGGCATGTGTAGAAGAGGTGTCGCCTGAAGTGCAGGCTCAGTGACAGAGCACACCAGCTGAGAGTTCAGAAAGAACCCTCGGGCATCACTTCCTCCTGCTTTCCTCAGCGGGACAACCAAGACTCCTTAGCATCTTTTGCTGGCCTCTTGTGACAGCTCAGAGGACTCTGCCCTTTTGAATGGTTTGTGTTCAGCTCCTCAGATGAAAACAGTTGATAAATGAGCCACAGGGTCACTCACATGTGTCAGTTAGAGACCGGCCGGTGGACTTTGGAAATGATGTTAGTTCTCCCAGTTCCTCTAGAGCAGCTCACCCATCTCCTGGCATACAGAACAGTTGATGTTGGCTCTTGGTCACTGTCGGCTTGCTTCAGTGGCCAGTAGCAGGAGGGACCTGTCATGTGGGCTGCCTGAGCATACCCCCCTTCATCCTTTACCTGGACCAGCTGTCATAGCCCAGTTAAATGTAGCAATGGTAAGGAAGGTCAGTTAAATGCTACGGCGACCCTTTAAATGGAAGAGGAGTTGACTTCAGAAGTCTAAGTCATGAGAGTTTGTTTTAGAGTTTCTGGTTTTTCAGAGTTTGTGGTGCATTTAAACCCAAAACCCTGGGCTAGGGCAGCAGCTGATTGGACCTTAAAGTCCCTGCCAGAAAAACCCATGGGCTTTTGAGATTCAGGTGACGTGAGTTGTTGAGCTGTGGCTGGATTTCTAGTGTGAGATGAGAACGGTGGTCAGGACTGCCTGCACCCAGGAGAAGGCACATAAGACACACACTGGGGCCACAGTCCGTGTTCCTCTTTCAGGAAAAGCTGCTCTGCTGGTAGCAGGGTATACCCTCTGAAGATGCTATTCTGTTTTAAACTGAGCTGCGGTGGCTGGGGTTGGATTTATTTATTGCATGCTCTGCTTGTGTCTTCCACCTCCCTGTCTCCCCTGCCCACCTGCCATTGGGTCCCTGTTGTCCTACCTTTGGTGACTTGGTGTGTCTCAGAGTTTCTTAAAGTGATATATCCAGGCAAATGAGTCTGTATGGAGCCTTTTTTCTCTCCCACCTCCATCAAAGGCAGCTGTTGTGTAGCAGAGATGTCGGCTGATCTTAGAGATGTTTCTATATTAGCAGAAAGCTTCTCCCTTTTTCTCTTTAAAACTGCAATGTCCCATTGTGAGCCTTTGCATGCATTAATATTTCGCCTGCATTGGAGGAGTTACTAACCTTTTGCCTTTCCAAGCAACAGGCTGGAAGTTTTTGTGGGGACTTGGAAGGCAGGCTGCCATTTGATTTTAGACCGCAGGGAAGGGCTGGGTGTGGAGAGTTGGAGAGCTGGTCAAGTCCTCCCCTGTGTGTGTGTGTTTATATCTAGATGGTCCACATATTGAATACTCTTATTTTCTCCCATTTTCTCTTTCAGGGACAATTCAAGCTTTCGAAATACAAAAATCACATTGTGAAAGTGCACAAGCTGGCAATAATCCTTTTCTGTTTGTGTGTCTGTCTGAAATGGATGCGAGGCTCAGGCAGTCCTTCTATCTGCTCACTGAAGGGGTGTACCTGAGCCATGTGCTCCCCTTCTGCACTCGTTCCTGGAAGACGGACTCTGCTAGACACCTTCCAGCACTGCTGACTTTTAAAGCAGGAAACATGGGGAAACTGACTTTATAATAGACAGACACTTTCTAATGGGGCTCTGTGCAGGAGTGCAGCTGTTTCCTTGTTGTGTGCTATCCAGATGCCTCTTGGCATCCTGCTGTACTCTCCTGCTGTGCAGAGGACTTGATTACCGACCACATGTATGTGCCCGTGCTGGGTCCCAGCTGAGCGTTATCAGTGTTATGAATGCTTGCACATCCAGGGGCAGCCTCTGCTTAGAGTTGAAGAGAACCGAATGCCTCTTCCAGCTCTGCTTTAAGTTACTGTGTGTTTCTCTCCCCCACGCCCACCACTCTGAACATGTTAGGATGTGATAACAGCCTAGGATTCTGTGTCCTTTGCGCCTTACACCTCCAGTTCCCTCCAGGGGGGCTCTCCTTCTTAGGCACTGCAGCACTTAATTGTGATCCTGGGCAGCACCGGTTTTGCTGGTAAAACCTAAGGTATCTGCCCTGTGAGAGAAGGTGGAGAAGAGTGCAGTTCAGTCAGAAGCTAGATTATAATGCAGATCCCACGTGTGGGGTTAGAGCTGAGGGCAGTGACGGAAACCAGCCACGTATGAGTGGGACTTGACGTGCTGAGCATGGTCTGTGGGGCTTGCATGTCCCTCGTGGAGGAGAATGACAGCTGGTTAGTGCCACATTAACACTCTGTGTAGATCCTACAGTGCTGAAGCAGACCTCTGGAGAAATGGCAGCCTTGTTGGATGCTTTATTTGATGGCTCTGTCTGTCTGCTGTGGTTGGAAAAGACTTTTGGTCCTCATTGCCTGGATGTAAACAAATTGTCCAGATTCCTGATGCTCAGAAGGCTCCTGCAGGCATGTCCTCATCAGAGAAGCTGGGTGATCTGACTCTGGGAGCCTGAGGCCAGAGAGTTCAGAAGAGCACCCAAGATCAAGGAAGAAATGGGCAGCTACTGCAGCAGCTTTCAAGTAGCTCTGTGTACTGGGCTCTTGTGAGCCGAGATGGCAGTACCTTAAATTAAGGCCTCTCTTTAAAGCATATCCCTGAAGCCTCGGGTCCTCAGCCATGGGTCTCAGGACTTCGGAATTTAACAGCATCTCCTTGAATCCATGATGCTCTCTTCCAGCTTTCCAGCTCCTGAGGCCCCTCGAGTCACTGCAGTCTGGGGATGCCTTTTCCTGAAAGAGCAGAGTGCAGGGCCCAAGAGGGGAGGTCTTTCCACTGTGGGTGAAGCCATCTGAGAACCATGTCCAGCAGCGATTGAAACTCCAGGAATCTGAAGAATGCCTTCTGGGGTAGTTGTGAAGGGCTCAGGCAAAACCCCGAGCATCATTGGCTGCCAAGGAGGCAAAGGCTGCCTCTGGAGACTTGACCAAGGCAGGGGCCTCACATTTGCCTGTGCTCA